GAGAGAGAGAGAGAGAGAGAGAGAGAGCAGAATTGAAGAACTCATTCATAGCATACCATTGTATATGAGATCATAAATTGTTTACAGAATATCACTTCAATTTGTTTATTGATATTAAAACTTTCGAGAAAATAGATGTTTGTATGTTATTTGTAAATGTATTTTATTATTCATTTTTTGACAATTTATTTCGTTTTTCTTTTCTCTCATATATATAGCGAGTCAACAAATATTTGAATCGTTTTTCGCAAAATCGGACGAAACGCGAGGCGGGACAGGAATGCGGTTGTCCTCCCGGTAAGTGTCGTTACTATGAGATTACCAGACATTATAGACACCCCAGACATGAGACAACACACACAACACCCCTCCGTGTATATACCGACTCTAACGTGTGTCCAACAAATGGCTTATCAGTGAATTTAATCTCGAGAAATGCAAATAACAAACATAACATACAATCTCAGTCTCTCTCTCTCTCTCTCTCTCTCTCTCTCTGTCACACCATTTCGCTCATAGTTTCCCAGAAATTATACGAAAATTTAATTTTAATTTATATTTCCTTTTATTTTTACGATTATTTATTTCCTTTAGTTTTTTGCAAATAATATTCAAACAAATGGTTTCATAACTAATAATAGCATTGAATAACTTTTACAGCGATCTGTTGAATGCATTTAATTAATCAATTTTGCGGTAATATTAGACACAAACAGAAAATAGAGATAAATCCATATAAAATACATTTTGTTTGACAATCGCTTAGTTTTTTGAAACAAAATATCACACTTTGTTATTACAAGCGATTAAATTGAATATATATTTTGATTATCGTTTTGTTAAATTAAATAAACAAGTGATTTGTCACCAGTTAGTTGTTAGACATGTTTAACATTATTAAGTTAAAAACTGATAACTTTTTTGTTTATTTTTATTTTAATTAAATCTGTGCTTATCTTAAGTATATTTTTTATATTAATTTTTTATTTACTTTTTCTGTCACTTTTTGCGCTAACATTGACTACTGTTTATTTTGCTATTTATTTTGTTTTTAATTTCATTTAATAATTGATTTTTTCGATTTTATGTTGACTTATGGGTCGATCGGTTGTTGTTGTGGTTATAATGCATGCAATCATTCATTTCAATTGACACTTAATCTGACCAAACATTTGCAAACATTAATGTAATACTTGTATCGCATGTTACGAATGATATACAAAACACACACTAATTAAATGATGAAATATATTGCTATTGATTTGCACTAAAACCAGTCGTGGCGGCCTTTTCCCTTATTATAGTCAAATACCTTTCCGAAGTGATTCCTTACTTCCGGAAGGCATCCATTCTGGCGGACATCGGCTGGACTTTCAATGGCGAGGAATTCCTCCAGAATGCCAACCAAATGAATAGCGATTTCAATAATTCAACTCAACATAAAAGTGACACCAAAACAGTTCCCCTATTGTTATGCCATTTGACTAAATGTTCGGACAATAAGTCAAATGAAAGCAAACACGAGGACAGCGTTAATGTGATCGCCATTTACTCACCAAACCGACAGTCAAAGTGTGTCTTACGGTGTGTTGATTCAGCCCAATGCAGCGCGTGGTTCAGTGCCATCCACTCGGCCTCCTGTCACCTCATGGCTCAGGCTGTCATCCAAACCAACAATCTCTTGACTGACTTCTTAGACGGCGTCAGACTTACACACATGGGATGGCTCTATGAAAGGGTACTACAAGTGGACAATGCTTTTGATTTTGCATAGAAATTGAGTCCATTATTAAACATAATATCAATAATTTGATTGCTTTTCCATTTAGAGTCCAGACGTTAGCTCTCATATCAAATGGAATCCGGTTTTCCTGGCGGTCACAGAAAGAGACCTATTATTCTATGACTTAGTCCCCTGGACTAGGGAGGCCTGGGCTGTACCCGTGCATACATTTCCCTTATTGCACATTCGTTTGGTGCACAACAACTCATCGAATTTAGGACTAACCATGTCTTCGAAGTCAACCAATTCTGGCGGTGCTCTCATCATTCCGGGCGTTACGGATGTCATCACATTTACGCTCAGACTCGGCACTAGACTTGGCATAGACTGCCGCACAATGCGCGCTGAGAGTCACCGGGATTTAGCCAATTGGGCCAAACATATAGTACAGGCCTCGTACAAGACAGCTATAGCTCTCAAAGAGATCTGTTTCGGTGAGGATCACGTGTTTTATATTTCATTTTCTTGAAAGTAGATTCAATCTAATGGTTTGAATGACACAAATCTAAACATTTGTTGTGTTTGTTATAAAAGCGTGTATTTATAAGAACGTGGAATCGATAATAACTGTTCACATCGATAGTGGATTCACTTTAGAAGAGATGCAGTCGAGGAATATATTGTGGAAAATGCCTTTCGAGCAGTTGAAGGGAACGGCTGATGACGGCAAACGACTCGTTTGGCTCGAATTCAATGGGGACGACGACAAGGTATTCAATTAATGGTTCATTTCTATTATATATACAATAATTATTTATTTATTTTGTTCACAATCGTCAGGAATTAGATTTACTACAAAACCCAAAACCTTTTATATTCACATTACACACAATGGTAATATGAATGAGTATTTAAATTATACCGGTAATAAATATTTACCTTATATTCAGTTATCAGCAAAACTCACTCATCTGGGACTGACACTTGATGTCTGACCGCATCTCATATACTAGCAATTGATGAGCAATAATATGAATTTTGGATTAAATTTTTAAATATATATTTTTGAATCGGATTTTTCTCAATCGATTTATTTATCTCTCTATTAAATGTTATATGAATATTAACGTTAGGTTAGAATTATCTCAGTTTTGGATTATTTTTAGTTTTTTAATGAATTAATAATAGAATTATTTTTTAAATTCTATAAAATGTTTTTAAACGAATTGATAATTGAATTGTATTTATGTATTAAATTATATATTGTTCTTAATTAACACAAAACACAAGTTAACAAGTTAAGTTTATATTTGCACTCTATTGCGAACCATTTGACGGTATAATCAATTTACTCACCACTTGTTATCACATTTTGTCATCAATTTTCAAATATTAATAAATATTAATTCTATTTATACTTATAATGGTTGTTAACATCACAAATAGTCTGTAATCAGTTTACAAATAATTTATTATCAAAATCATAAAGAAGTGCTTTTTTGAACGATTCAATCAATTATTACAAAAATATTAACATTAAATATCTATACAATATTTAAGGCTAAACCGATTTTTGTGTACTTTTATATATAAATTATGTTAAAAATAAATTAAAATCACAATTGTTTAGTTGAAAATGAATGACTCAAATGTTGCCGGTTGTGAAGCCAAATGGGAAGGCATTGAAATGTGAGTTAATGGGGGTTCGGGGCGACGCGCACACAGTCGTTGTCATGAAGTCATCCGATTGGAAATGAGTCCGATTTAGTGTCGGTTCAGACGTGGATCTGTGTATTTTGGGCAGAGATCGTAGCAAATGCTCTAAAGTGGCCAAAATCTGTTCACACAAACACATCAATACATTAGATATGGTTCACTCGAAACCAAATATCTTTTTGGGAATACCTGTCGAAACAGCGGCCGTTCGTCTCTATTAAACAAAATGCAATCCTTTATTAATCTTATGAACCCTTTGGGCGTCTCGTTTCGACTAATACTGAGGTCCGGGTGTATGAGCCCGTGGCCCACCATAAACAGGATCTGATCCTTATTGTTGATGTGGTGGTACGGGAGCTGTCCGGTGACCAACTCGTACATCACGATACCGAACGCGTAGACATCACTTTGAAAGGTGTATGGATTCTCTCCCTTCATTCGGATCACTTCGGGTGCCATCCATAAGATAGAACCGGTCGGTTGGTTGAACTGTTGTGAGCCCTGCCATCGGGTTTTAACGGTCGCCAAACCGAAGTCACCGATCTTTACGGTCAGGTCGTCGTGAAGGAAAATGTCTGCAAAAACACATCACATTAAACACAATCCACAAATGGTTCGCAAAATAATCTCAATTACTATTGGATTTCATGTCTCGATGGATGATATTCTTCGCGTGCAAGTAATCCATTCCCTGTGCGGTCTGTCGTGCGATGTCTATGAGTTGTAATAATTCAAATCTGGTCTCCAAGACGTGTAAGTGCTTATACAGTGACGACCCTTCGCACCATTGCGTCACAATTGTCAGCTGTGGTCGAGACACACAACCCATGAAGAGTAGGATATTTACGTGACGTGTCTTCCGAAGGA